TGATGTTTCGCCTGCATCTATGGCAAGCATCCTCAGAGGTTGTGAGGTCTGTTGAAAACTAGGAAAAAAATTGGTTTATATATCTGTGGAATGTTGATATTGGCCACCATCATTAGCATTCGATGGCCTGGCAGTTTTTTGGTGTGGCTTGTTACTGCCTGGGGGAATCTTTTGGAGGATCATAGATAATAAAATCATAGAGTTGGAAGAGACCTCGTGGGCCATCCAGTCCAACCCCATTCAAGCAGGAAAATCACAATCAAAGCACCCCCAACAGATGGCCATCCAGCCTCTGCTTAAAAGCCTCCAAAGAAGGAGCTTCCACCACACTCTGGGGCAGAGAGTTCCAATGCTGAACAGCTCTCACAGTCAGGATGGTCCATCAAGTTTTGGAACATATTTCTGGGGAATTTCCAAAGTTTTTATGAGCAACATTAAAAGAAAACTACAAGAGCGATCTCCTTGAATTTTCTACACAATGACACAAAATAACAGAGGATATTTCCCCCCAAGTTTCAGAAAAAATAATACATTGACCGATTTTAGGGATTTTTTTTGTTGAGAGGTGATTAGCTGTCCCTGATTGTTTCCTCTCTGGAGTTTCCCTGTGTTTGAGTGTTGTTTTACTGTTATAATTTTAGAGTTTTTAATACTAGTAGGCAGATTTTGTTCATTTTCATGGTTTCCTCCTTTCTGTTGAAATTGTCCACATGCTTGTAGATTTCAGTGGCTTCTCTGTGTAGTCTGACATGGTGGTTGTTAGAGTGGTCCAGCATTTCTGTGTTCTCAAATAATATGCTGTGTCCAGGTTGGTTCATCAGGTGCTCTGCTATGGTTGACTTCTCTGGTTGGAGTAGTCTGGGAACATGAACATCCGTTGACCCGCGGATATGGGGGCCCAATGGGTTTCCGTATCCGCGGTTCCACGGAAAGCAGTTTCGGACTTCCTGGGGAGCTGTAAGAGTGTCTTGGGTGAGCCAGCAGTGATCTGTGGCTCGAGAAAGGAAAAGTTTATGTTCTCTAGAGGCAGTAAAGAGACAGAATGTATCACTATGAAGAGGAAAATTTTGCAATCAAAGGATACTTTTATTGAGAGGTTTGTTACAATGTTAGGGTAAGGGAGAAAAGAAAGCAGAAAAGTGACTTTCAGTTGAAGCTGCTGCTGTGGCCACGGTCCCTTTGATGTTGGCCCACCCAGATGTCCTGGAACTGTGGAACTCCCTGCTGTGGTTCAATTCAGTCTGAAGGTAGGGGTCTGCGCGTTCGTTGACCTCAAAAAGATTTCCCCAGGCACTAACAAGCCACACCAAAAACTGCTAGGCCATCAAATGCTAATCAAGGTGGCCAATTGAAACATTCACACTGAGCCGTTCAGCAGTGGAACTCTCTGCCCCGGAGTGTGGTGGAGGCTCCTTCTTTGGAAGCTTTTAAACAGAGGCTGGATGGCCATCTGTCAGGGGTGATTTGAATGCAATATTCCTGCTTCTTGGCAGAATGGGGTTGGACTGGATGGCCCACGAGGTCTCTTCCAACTCTTTGATTCTATGATTCTATGACCTCCAATAGACAAGAGTTCTTTCTCCCACCCTGGACATCATTCCAGATATACAAACCCGATTTTCCTAGTTCTAACAGACCTCACAACCTCTGAGGTTGCTTGCCATAGATGCAGGCGAAATGTCAGGAGAGAATGCTTCTAGAACATGGCCTAAAAACCTACAACAAAACAGAGGACTTGATCAGCAACTGAACAGACTACAGAGGTTTGGGGAGAATTCATCATGATTTATAGGAGTTGTAAGTACTGGAATGTATAGTTCACCTGCAATCAATGAGCACTCTGAAGTCCACCAAAGATGGAATTGGACCAAACTTGGCACACAGAGCCTCGATGACCAGAAAAAAAATATTGGAGGTCTTTGGGGAAAATTCACCTTGATTTGGGGGAGTTGTAGTTCACCTCCATCCAGAGAGCACTGTGAACCCAAACACCGCTAGATCTGGACCAAACTTGGCATGCATACCTGATATTGTTGACATTTGATTATTGGAGGGGTTTGGAGGGGGGGGGGATGACCTTTCTTTCCGGGAGTTGTAGTTCACCCACAACCAGAGAAAGAGTGACCCCCACCGACGATTGACGAGGACCAAACTTGGCACACAGACCTGATATGCCAAAAAATTGAATACTGGAGGAGTTTGGGGGGAACTGACCATCCTTTTCTGGGAGTTGTAGTTCACCCACAATCAGAAACATCACAACTTAAAATTGACAATTATACAATAATGAAGCAGTATATAATTTTATATTATCAGTAGTGATTATATTTTATGTATTAGCTTGATTGAAATACATTATTATTATATTATTACTATATTATGTTAATATATTACTATTATATTATTATATATGATTATTTATATTTTATATTATATATATTTATATAATAATATAATATATTATATTATTATATAAATATATATAATATAAAATATATAATATAAATAAATATAAATAATATAAATAAATATATATAATATAAATAAATATATATAATATATAATATAATAGTAATATATTAATATAATATATTATATATATTTTATTATTATATATATTTATATAATACATTATATTATTATATAAATATATATAATATAAAATATATATAATAATATATAATATAATAGTAATATAGTAATATAATATATTATATTATTTTATATGTTTTTATTATTATACATATTTATATTTATTTATTTATTTGATGCACTTATTGACCGCCGCTCTCAGCCCTAGGGCGACTCGCGGCGGTGAACAACATATAAAAACAGTTTACAAAAAGCAAAAGCAAGAAAATCACACAACAATAATACACAATACTGAAAGTTACACTAACTAATAAATTTATTATATTTATATATAATCTATAAATATAATACAATATAAATATAAATAAATATAAATATAATAAATTATATGTATTTGTATTATACTTATATTTATTATATTTATATATAATCTATAAATATATAATATAAATATAATATATTAATATAATATATTATATTATATATATATTTATTATTATATATATTTGCATAATAATATATTATATATATATAATAAATTATATAATAGTAATATAATAATTATTAATTATTACTAATTGATAACATTACATACCTATCTATCTTTCTATCTATCTAAAATCTCTCTCTAAAACATCTTGGGAAAGCTACAACTCCCATTCCTCCTCCGAAAGGCCTCCTCACTGAGGTCCCTCGCCTTGCCTAGGCTTTAGCCCCGCCCCCTGCTCCTCCCCATAGGCTAAGCCCCGCCCCCTCGGCTTCCTGCGCGTGACAGAGCCCTCCGCTTGACCCAACCGTTCCTGTTTCACGCTGTCCTTGCATTACCCCGCCTCCGTGACCGCCATTGGCTGCCTTGGCTGTCCATCTAAGCACCGCCCCGCCCACTAGGAAGACCTCCCGACTCCGCCTCCTTCCAAGGAGTTCCCCTTTCCATTCGTGAGCTAGTCCCGCCTCCTCCTACTCTTCCTCCTCCGCTATTGGCTCATCTTAATTCGACTGACAGCTCCTCTATAAACTAGATCAATTCCCCTCTATGGAAGAGGAGTTTAAAAAAATCCCTCTGGGCCCTTATTGGTTCCCCTAAAGGCGTCGCGCAGCCTCATTGGTCTAGGAGCGTGTCAATCCGAGGCGGGACTAATAACCATATCTGAGGCCTTTTTGGATCCTCCAGGTCATTATTGGTCTCCTTACAGGCGTCGCGCAACCTCATTGGCCGGGGAATGTGTCCATCCAAGGCGGGACTAATAATATTGGACTCCCAATATCTAGGTGAAGGTTGCGTGAGGTGACAAGGAAAAAAGAGGCGGGAAGACGTTCGGAGGCGCCTGATTGGCCAAGAGGCGGAGACGAGTTTCCCAATTGGGCGTGGCCTCAGAGGAGGAGTGTGCCTATTGGTTGGAAAGGGCGCGCGCGCGGGGGGGGGTCTGTTGAGGGACGGGAGCGCGCGCTCGGCGTGTGTGCGCCTCTGAGAGTGCGCGAGGGCGCACGCATGCGCGCTCCCTGGGTGCTCTTTCACTCTGGGGCTCCTGTGAGGAGAAGGAGGAGGAGGAGGAAGGAGGCGGCGAGGGCGAGTGGCGGCCGGTCGGGCGGCCTGAGGGGACGGAGGGGCGGCGGAGGAAGGCGAGGAGGAGAGCCGGGGGGGCGAAGAGAGGCCTGAGGGAGCCCCCTCGCCCGGCCTCTGCCCTCAGGAAAGGCCCCGGCGTAGCTCCCGCCTCCCCGGCCCGCCGAGCGCCCCCTATTGGCCAGCCGCACTCGCCCAGGCCCCGCCTCATTGGGTCAGGCTGCTGTCAGGCCAAAGGTAGGCCCTTGCCTTGACCTTCCCTGCCTCCCCTTCTCAGGCACCATCAAGACCACCTCCTCCACCCAGATTGTTACCTTTTCCGTCATCCCATTCCCCATCTCACCTCCTCCTCCTCTTCTCCTTTCTGCATCCCTCAGCTCCCTTTTCTCTCCACTTTTCTCCTCACCTCTTGCCATTTTCACCATCTTTCTTCTTGCACTCTCCTTTTCCTGCTTCTTGCAGTTCTCCCTTCCCTTTACAATATTTTCCTCTTGCAATATAAATACACATATTCTTCCATTGCTCGTTTTCCCCTGCTTTCCTTCCCTAGATCTCCTTTTCTTGTCTCCCTTTCCTCTCCTTTTTCTGCTTCTTGCAGTTCTCTCTTCCCTTTACCATATTCTCCTCTTAAAATATAAATACACATATTCTTCCATTGCTCGTTTTCCCCTGCTTTCCTTCCCTAGATCTCCTCCATTTCTTATCTCTCTCCCCCACTTATTTTCTTCTTCTTACCGCACATTTTAATCTCTTTCTCCCCACCTCTGTTTCCTCCCTCTTGCTCTCTTCTCACAAGCTTTGAAAAATAAAATATAATAATAATAATTGTTTTGCTCCATTGCTCATTTCCTCCCCCAGATCTCCTCCCTTTCTTGTCTCCCTTTCCTCTCCTTTTTCTGCTTCTTGCAGTTCTCCCTTCCCTTTACAATATTCCCCTCTTGCAATATAAATACACATATTCTTCCATTGCTCGTTTTGTCCTCCTTTCCTTCCCTAGATCTCCTCCCTTTCTTATCTCTCTCTCCCACTTATTTTCTTCTTCTTCTTGCACATTTTTATCTCTTTCTCCTCACCTCTGTTTCCTCCCTCTTGCTCTCTTCTCACAAGCTTTGAAAAATAAAATATAATAATAATAATAATTGTTTTGCTCCATTGCTCATTTTTCTCCTGCTGTCCTCCCCCAGATCTCCTCCCTTTCTTCTCTCCCTTTCCTCTCCCTTTTCTACTTCTTGCAGTTCTCCCTTCCCTTTACAATATTTTCCTCTTGCAATATAAATACACATATTCTTCCATTGCTCGTTTTCCCCTGCTTTCCTTCCCTAGATCTCCTCCCTTTCTTATCTCTCCCACTTATCTGCTTCTTGCACATTTTTATCTCCTTCTCCCCACCTCTATTTCTCCCTCTTGCACTCTTCTCATAGAAAAATAATATATAATACAATATTATTTTGCTCTGTTGCTCATTTTCTCCTGATTTCCTGCCCTAGATCCTCTCCCTTTCTTATCTCCCACTTATTTTCTTCTTCTTCCACATTTTTATCTCTTTCTCTCCATCTAGGTTTCTCCCTCTTCTCACAGCCTTTGAAAAATAATATATAATACAATATTGTTTTACTCCATAGCTCATTTTCTCCGGATTTCCTCCCCTAGAACTCCTCCCTTTCTTATCTCTCCCTCCCACTTATTTTCTTCTTCTTGCACATTTTATCACTTTCTCCCCTTCTCTGTTTTCTCCCACTTGCGCTCTTCTCACAGCCTTTGAAAAATAATATATAATACAATATTGTTTTGCTCCATTGCTCATATTTTCTCCTGATTTTCTCCCCTAGATCTTTTTATATCTCTCTCCCACATACTTTCTTCTTGCACATTTTTTATCACTTTCTTCCTGTCACATTCTCCTTCTTGGTTTCTCCCTCATGCAGTCTTCTCACAGGCTTTGAAAAATAATATACAATATTTGTTTTGCTCCATTGCTCATTTTCTCCTGATTTCCTCCCCTAGATCCCTTCCCTATCTTCCATTTATTTTCTTCTTCCACATTTTTATCGCTTTCTCCCCGTCTTGGTTTTTCCCTCTTCTTGTAGAAAAATAATATATAATACAATATTATTTTTCTCGATTGCTCATTTTCTCCTGATTTCCTCCCCTAGATCGCCTCTTTCTTATCTCCCTCTCCCACTTATTTCTTTTTCTTCCACATTTTCATTGCTTTCTCCCCTTCTCGGTTTTTCCCTCTTGCACTATTCTCACAGGCTTAGAAAAAGAATATATAATATAATATATTGTTTTGTCCCATTGCTCATTTTCACTTGCTTTTCCTCCTGCATTCTCTCCTCCTTTTAAGTACTCTTTCATTTCACTCCTCTCAAGTTCCTCTCCTCCGTTCTTTTTCTTCTTACATGCTTTTTTAAAGGCAGGATTTCCCACTCCTTTAAAAAAACTTTTTTTCGCATCCCTGAATGCATTGCATCCTTCATTTCCCTTTCATGCTCTTTCCATAACTTAGACATTCTTCGCTTCGTAAAATCTCTGAGAAGCATCTCCTCAAGTATTTTCTTCCCTCTTTTCATGCATTTTAATTGTTTCCCATTTATAAAATTGTTTCCTTCTTCTGTTTTTGCATTTTCCATCTAGTTCTGTTTGTAGTTTTTCATCTCTTTTGCATTGTCTCTGTTTCCTCCAGTTTACTCCCTTTATATTCTGTGACATTTGGTTTCTCATTTCTGTTTTTTTGTCGCCTGATCACATTCTAAATTAACATAATTTCTTTTTGTACTTGTTTCCCTCTATGTTCCTTTTCCCTCCTGTTTCTTTGGTCCTCTGTTGGGTTTTTAAAAGATTGTTTCTGTGAACTGATTGCTTCTTATCCACATTCCTTTTTTTGTACTTCATTCTTCTGTTCACGTTACTTGACTATCCTGTTTCTTTCAGCTCCATCATTTTCCGTAATTTTTCTCAGTCACCCAGTGTTATCTGCTTTCATCTTTGGTTTTAAGTTATTTCATTTCTGCCCTTCTAAATATTCCTGCAACCCGCTTACTCCTTGCCCTCAGTAACTTGTATTGCCCGACTTCTCACCTCCCACACACTACTTTTTAAAAGAAGTATTTCCTGTCAGTCTTATTCTGTTTTACTTGCTCCTCTTTTCCAGTTTCTTTCTTTCTTTCTTCCCATTGATCTGGTCTTTTCTCATATTCTTCTTTCTGTCCTTTTTGGACATATCCTCTCCCCCACTGACTTAACATTCTTTGCTTTCATTAGTCACTTTCTATTCCCTTCCACGGGAAATTGCTTACATCCATCCAAGCTTAATATTAAAGGTGAATGGATGTATACACAGCACAGAGTGGAGAAGACTTGTAGAAGCCCTTAAGGGACCTTCTTACACATTTTGAAAAGATAAATGAAAAGAATGTGGGAATGGAAGGGGTGGAGTTGTCAGTATTCCTAACATTTTCTAGGGGGGTGCATTCACATCCTTTTTCTAGGGGGGACGGGGACTGACTTGAATTCAAGACTGGCACAGAAAAAGCAGAAAGATGGCATTCTAGTACCAACTACATCAGCCATCTTGGGGGGAAGGGGAATTTATTGCATGCTCACACTCACACACGCAGAAGCCTCAATTTTTAGTGACTTAATGAAGACGTAAAAGACCTGTTGAGCTCCATGTTTGCAAAGGTGGGCAACTTGCTTGTGAAAGTATAGCAGACCTTCATTTTTGTGGCCAAATGACAGCTTGACCCAGTTGTTCTCCAACCAGAGGGCATCATCTTGAATGTCTTTGTGTAGTGCCACAACCGGCGCAAAAATGATGGCGGCTTACAATGGCGGTACATCCGCCGCCGCAGCAGGTCACCACCACCACCATCACCACCACCTCGCCCACCTCCCTCCTCCTCATCTCCATCACCACCACCATTCCCAGCACCACTTGCACCCAGGCTCTGCGGCTGCAGTGCATCCTGTGCAGCAACATGCTTCCTCAGCGGCTGCGGCGGCCGCTGCGGCTGCGGCAGCTGCAGCCATGTTAAATCCAGGCCAGCAGCAGCCATATTTCCCGTCACCGGCACCAGGTCAGGCTCCTGGGCCAGCTGCAGCAGCCCCAGCTCAGGTACAAGCTGCAGCAGCGGCTGCAGTTAAAGCGCATCATCATCAGCACGCGCATCACCCGCAGCAGCAACTGGATATTGAGCCAGACCGGCCTATTGGATATGGAGCCTTTGGTGTCGTCTGGTGAGTATAGATGTCTCTGGTGGCTTCCAAGCTATGGTGCGTTCATGTTGCCATTGGATTTGCATGTTACTTTCCCCACAGTTTCTTGTACAATTCTCTGATGGGTGAGGTCTTAGGAAGACCTCACCCACCAGAGTAAGCAATTTTAGTGGAATGTAAGTAGCACAAGTGAAACACTTTTGTTCTCATATGTTGGTGGTACGTATTTTGCCGTATTTTCCTCTATTTGTGTCTTAAAGTCTTTTAACGCTAAGATAGTTTCCCAGCTTCTGTAAGGTGGTTTCCCAGCTTCTGTGTCGTATTACTTGAATCCGAGGATGCACCCCTGTCAATAAGAGCCTGGTGGTGGGCACTTAAATATTGTCACAAGATCAGAGTTTTTAGTTTAGGATCTGGTTTGATTCATCACTTAGCTCAGGATGAGTATATAAGCCGTTGGTTTAAGATTGATTCTATAAAGCCTACTCCATTGGCCTTTCCGCATCCTTCCTAATTCATTTGGGTTTTGACACGGCCCTCAAATCAAACAAAGACTATGGGACATTGCCTTTTTTGAGTTGTGCTCTCACTCTTATGTATCGTTCTCCCCTAGTGCCCTGTCCATACATTATGTTGGGTATTTCCATGCAGCAAACTATCTAAAGAACTTGACTTGGCTATTTTCCAAGGCAAGGTGCAATGTGCTCCCTTCTGAATTGCTGTGTGGGAGATTTACCGGTACCCCATATAATGAAAGACTCTGCCCATGAAACAAACAGGAAGTAGAATGCATCTACCACATTCTACTGTCATGCAATTTCTTTGAACAGGCCCGAGCACATATAATCAACCCCCTACTAAGAAACTTACCAGCAAGTCCAGTGAAATTTTATGTGAAGTTTCTACTTGGTGACAACCTTCCCCACGTGACCTTGGCGGTTGGCAAGTTTCTTTCTGAGACAGGCAGACAGTTCCCAATTTTAGACATAGACTGAAACATTTCTTGTAGTCTTTTACCTATGTTTTTAGCCAACATGTGTTTTAAGCAGTTTTTAACTGTTCTTAATCTCATTACCTGCATACTTTCTACACCTATGGTGCAATAAGGGTGTTTGGACCATAATAAAGTGTTGTTGTTGTCTTAAAGTATTCCTGAGGAATTGTTTTTCTAGGCTTAGAAATTCATGGTTTTTGAACCCAGTAAATTTCGATTTGTTGTTTAACCCCCCCCCCCCCCATTTTTATGGTTTTGTCATATACTCCAACTTACTTTTCCATCTTGAGGGCAAGAAATACTCTGTATATTCATGTATAAGTCTGAATAAAAAAAGCAACCCCAAAAACCTAGGTGGGACAATTTAAGTACTGCACCTGAACTCTTATATTTAAAAAAGGAACTATCTCCTTTTCTGAGAACAGTAGCAAAAGGCGAGAGCTTTGTCCCTCTCAGGAGAATCTAAAAGAAGCATCGACCCTCTCGACTCTTTTTGCCACAGTGCCATTTCTGGACTTTTTGAATACCTGGACAAGAAGATGGCCCTCTGAGGCAGTGTTCCCTTCTGAATGGAATGGCCCTTGACTTATCCATGGGGGTCATCAAAATCCATCATTTTGTCCCTAAAATCAGCCCACGACATATACATTTATTTATTTATTTATTTATTTACTGCATGAGTATATACGGTGTTTTTTGGTGCTTTTATGCCTTTGAAGCTTCTACTATGTATTCCTTTGCAATATGAAGCTTTCTCACCCAAATTTTCTCGCGTCGATACTTTAAAGTGAGTCTCGATGACTCCTGTGGGACTTCTTCCAAGGTACATGTGAATAGAATTGCAGGCTGAGCAAGTTGAATTACTGTATATACTTGAGTATAAGCTGAGTCTTTCAGTCCTTTTTTAGGCTGAAAATGCTCCCCTCAGCTTATACTCGAGTCAAAATTATTTATCATTTTACTCTGTTATTATTTTTATTAAATTTATTATTTTACTCTATTTATTATTATTTTTATTGTTATTACATTTATTATTTTACTCCATTTATTATTATTTTATTGTTGTTATTACATTTATTATTTTACTCTTTTTTTACTGTTATTACATTTCCATTATTTTACTCCATTATTTTACTCTATTACTATTATTATTACATTTACTCATACATGTAATAATAATAATAATAATAATAATAGTAATACATTTATGATTTTACTCTCTTTATTATTGGAAGGATACGTAAGCACATTTACATTAAAGGAGGTTAGAATAATGGTTTAACCAGAGTTGGACAGTCTTACCTTAAATTACAGTTTTATGTAAATATTCAATACGCTTTCCCAGTTTTTTGTAGTAAGATTGAGTGCTTTGGCTTATATTCGGGTCGGCTTATACTCGAGTACATATAGTATGTCTGATGTCCTTACTTTGAGACTACAGCAGCATGGTTATAGTTTTCCCAAAACATTCTGCAGCTATTGCTATGATTTCCTTTTCTTTTTACCTCTTCGTTGGTCAACCCGCTGATTATATATCCCACTGTCAGCTCTTATTTTTTGGATCTGTTATCTTAACTGCAAATTGGAAACAAATAGAATGGCTTGTCCATTTAGGAATTGAGCAGAATTAGAAGTAATTTTTGTTGGACTGGTCTTGGCAGGTGTCTAGCATCTGCATTTCCCCTGCAATAGCACATAATATATTTTCTGTAGCAGTGATCTCAATACTTTGCATTTCACCCAAATTATTTTTTTTTCCATCTTGCTTTGGTGTGGGATGTTCCTGTCACAGTCACGTAGCTTTAGAGTGCTTTATGTGAGAAAATTATGGTTTGTAACAATTTCCTCCTTTATCTTGTTTAACCAAGAAAGAAGTCAACTCACTTATCACCTTCCATATTAGCCAGATTTATGTGAAATATGTTATTATTTTGCCCTATGTATATTGTAACTTGTTTTCCTGCAAAGTAATAAGAATTAAAACTCAAGAATGTGTTTCATTACCTCTTTAAAAATAACTTGAATAAAGACTTTTTTTTTAATATTTGAGGAATTGTTGGGTTTTTTGCATTGTATTCGTTTATACCACTAAGGTAATTCTTGATTCAGCAAAATTTCCTCTTTGTCCTTTAAGGAATGCTTTGCTTGCTTCAGCTGTCAGCCTGAAGTTTTTCACTTTGCTGAGCTAAAGTCATTGCATGTACGAATGATGTGATTCACTTGATTAATATGTACAGTAGGTCTGGTGCTTTGGAGCAGAATGGTTTAGACTGGTAACGCAGCATTGGTTAGATTGTGAACACTGATTTAGGCTGGGCCTATGGGTGTACTTTCTCTGTATCCCATTGATTACATCTGTATTGGTAAAATGCCCTCCCTATTAACGTTCTCCAGAACGCTTGGAAATCTCTAGTAAGGTTGCAGCAGGAGAGCAAAAGAAGAAAGCATGTATTGATACCATGGGACATTATTGGAATGTTGTCATTGTATTTACCTTTTGGAGCTAGGCTCTTCATGGAATCTTCAATCAGAAAAAATGCTATAGTGTATATGTGTATATGTGTGTGGTGGTGGTGGTGGGACGTGGGGAGAGATATGTGTGCACGCGTGTGTGATTTCTCAGCCTTTGGTCTCTCAAATGTTTTGGAATTTCAACTCCTCACTTCCAGCTTGGCTGAGACCTTTAGGAGTTGAAGTCCAAAACAACTGAAGAAACAGAAGTTGAGAACCACCGATTGTAGATGGTTTAGGCAAGACTCAAGTTCTGAGATAACTGGCAGGGGATGCATTGTTATGACAGCAGCAAACGTAAGGTACTTTCCTGAAGTGATGGGGTTACTAACTTTTATTGCTTTTCCCCCCCTTCGTGTCAGGAGTGACTTGAGAAACTGCAAGTTGTTTCTGGTGTGAGAGAATGGGCCATCTGCAAGGATGTTGTCCAAGGGATGCCTGGATGTTTGATATTCTGTACCATCCTTGTGGGAGGCTTCTTTCATGTCCCTGCGTGGGGAGCTGGAGCTGACAGAGGGAGCTCAACCTGCTCTCCCTGGATTCGAACCGCTGACCTGTCGGTCAGCAGTCCTGCTGGAACAAGGGTTTAATCCACTGTGCCACTGGGGGCTCCTACTTTTGTTGCTAGACAGATATAATTGTGTATATTAACTTATAGAATAAGTGGGAAGCTTCAGGCTCTGCAGACGTTACAGAGTAATTCTGGTCCATGTTAAACAACCCACATGTTCGACTGGAGCCATGATCACCAGTAGTAAGGAGTAATGGAGGTTGTAATCCAACATCTGTATGGGCCTAAATTGCCCACTTCTGATTTACAGCATGCTGAGGAGTATGCCTGTTGAAAAGTACTGTACTGTTAATAGCCATTTTTCTTATTTAGTGTATTAGGATGAAAACACAGAGGACTCCCTATTTTGAGATCCATGTCATGAAAATTAGTTATCAGTTTCTGGGGAGCATGTGCTGAAAGCTGCTGTTTTGCTTATCCTTGTAGACCTCCCATATGCACCTGCTCTATTGTGTGGAAACAAAATACTGGGTGAAATAATTCTTCGGTCTGATCCAGTAGGCTATTGTTATGTTATGTCCCATCAGGTCACTTTTAGTGTACAACTTTAAATTTACATTGTATTGTTATGTGTTTCAATCTTCAGTTTATGTATTTTAATATATGTGCTTTAATAGTCTTGGAGTTATTAGTGTTATTATCTGCCTATTTTAACATTGTTGTACCCTGCCTCAAGCCTTGAGGAGAGGCAGGTAACAAATACAATTATTATTATCTTTTTAAAAAAATTAACATTTTGAGATGATATTTATTAACATCGTAATCGTGTTAAGATGAAATAGAATCCAGGCAATTGGTTTTATTTATTTATTTATTTACGACATTTATATGCCGCCCTTCTCACCCCAAAGGGGACTCAGAGCGGCTTACAAGATATATATACATACAATATATTATATTATTAGCATAGTACAATATCAGTATTAAATATTACTGTATTGTATT